CACACACACTCCCCACAGGTAACACACACCCCACAGGTCACACACTCCCCACAGGTAACACACACACCCCACAGGTAACACACACACCCCACAGGTAACACACTCCCCACAGGTCACACACACACTCCCCACAGGTAACACACACTCCCCACAGGTCACACACCTATGTTACGTGTGTTCACGCTTTGTGTACACACTGTGTGTAAATGTGGAATCGAAGAAATGACGCCGTACTGAAACAAAACAAAGAAAACATCCTGAAAAAAACCATCAAATAATATAATTTTATAAAATATAAATAAACACAATCAAACATAAAGCCTAATAAATACAAATAATAATACCAACGTTGCCAACTCTTCCAAAAACCCTCAAAAGATCTCAAATGCCCTGAAAGTCCGACCCGCCTCGGAGACCCTGCTGTCCCCAGACCCTTTGCTGCTCTTCAAACGCCTGTGTTTCCGCAGACTCTCAGGTGTGTAGATCAGACCTGCGGCCCTCCTCGTTACCTGTCGGCCCCGTCGTCACGGTGATGGGCAGTCTGCAGACCCCGACCCCCAACAGCACAGGTTAGCTTCATTTATCACCTTATTAGGATCCTCATAAACAACAACAACAACAACAACAGATCATTTCATGCAATTCACAGTCAATATGATGTGAAAACAACAATCATCCTAAATGAACCGTGATAATCCAATCAGACAGTTCGGTTATACTTTACGATACGGAGAGGATCTTTTAGCAACTTTTTGAAATGTACTCGGGTGTTTTCCTGAACCTTTAGGTGGAATAGCTGCACAAACAACAACAACAACAACTTCGTCTGTACGACACATCTGTCTCAGGAGCTGTTCATCCTCTTGACCTTCAGATCCTTTTCATTATCAATAAATGGCCTCCGTACGTTCTCAAACATATATAGATCTTAATATACAGGGTGTCTCCTCCAATGGGAGTCAAACAAACATCAACAACAACAAAACATCATTTCATTCAATTCCCAATTCAATTATCATCCTATTTTAACCGTGATAATCCAATCACACAGTTCGGTTATACTTTACGATACGCAGAGGATCTTTTAGTAACCTTTTGAAATGTAACTTTGAGTGGAATAGCTGCAAAAACAACAAAACGACTGTCGAGACAAACAACAACAAATACGATATTACAGATCAAGTCTGAAAGTTGACTTGCGTCACAGCAGCTGCATGTCCGACTTCAACAGACAGGTATCCAGACACAATGCATGAAACACAGACATGTAACATAACAGCAATCAGTGAGAGGACAAGGAAATGTTTTGCAAGCATTACGGATATCACTTCATCCCCTTATTGGGATCCCCATAAACACAACAACAACAACAACAACACAGATCATAAGTTCATGCAATTCAATTTGTGACCTGCTCTATCAAATCAGTCGCATTGACCCGAAGACACATTGTGAGTTGTATGGAAAGAGGAGAGTCCTAGCTTTCTAATGATATCAGGATTGTTGTTGTTCTCCAAATATTAAGCAAAATAAGTCTCATTATATAACGACTGTCACGAGTCGTCACTTTGTGTGTGTGTGTGTGTGTGTGTGTGTGTGTGTGTGTGTGTGTGTGTGTGTGTGTGTGTGTGTGTGTGTGTGTGTGTGTGTGTGTGTGTGTGTGTGTGTGTGTGTGTGTGTGTGTGTGTGTGTGTGTGTGTGTGTGTGTGTGTGTGTGTGTGTGTGTGTGTGTGTGTGTGTGTGTGTGTGTGTGTGTGTGTGTGTGTGTGTGTGTGTGTGTGTGTGTGTGTGTGTGTGTGTGTGTGTGTGTGTGTGTGTGTGTGTGTGTGTGTGTGTGTGTGTGTGTGTGTGTGTGTGTGTGTGTGTGTGTGTGTGGTTATGCCTGCTGTGACGTTAAGTTACTCCGTTGAAAACAAACTGTCACGGACCCTGCCGTGTTATCTATGATTACTCTACTCTTACATTCATAATGTCAGCGGAGGGAGGGGGGGGGCGCTGCGCCATCTTCCCTTTAGAAGCTTAAAGAATGTGTTTATCGTGAGTTTGGAAATAAAGTTTCATATTCTGAAAGCCAAGACTTTGTTTCAAATCAAACGAAACACCCGAACCCCGAAAAAATAGTTTTTTATGCAAATCCACGTTTATTTTGAAATGAGTCGTTGAGACTTCCGACTGATTTCGATAGAGCGGGTCACATGTGCATTATCATCCTATTTTAACCGTGATAATCCAATCAGACACAGTTCAGTTATACTTTACGATACGCAGAGGATCTTTTAGTAACTTTTTGAAATGTACTCGGGTGTTTTCCTGAACCTTGCCCCCTTTAGGAGAAGCTTCAAGGTGGAATAGCTGCACAAACAACAGCAAGCATGCTTCATCCGTGTGACACAACGCAATCAGATGAAAACAATTGAAGATAAAGGAAAGACAAAATGACTGTCTCAGGAATCTGCTGTGGTGACACAGACACAGAGAGACAGCTATTTAAAACTATCTTAAGACTATTATAACAATATGTACACATTTAGAGTGGAGAGCTGTTGTGGTTTGAAAGAGGTGGTGTGAGGCATGGTGCACAAACGGAGAGAGAACATGGCAGAGAAGAAGTAAAAATGGGAATATGTTAAAAAAAACAAGTAAAAATGTATTTAAAAAATAGACAAACCAATATAAATAACATCAAATTAAAGATTTATATATTTAATGATGACTTTTGTAACTTGTTCGAGCTACTTTGATTGGAAAAGAGTTGGAAACCGCTAGGTAAGCGTTAATGTTCCCAGGAGGTGGATTTCCCAATAAAAGCACGACTTATCTGAAGCCCTCACATTGTGCAATCAGCTTTTACTCATAGCGCTAAGGTAAAGCGTATCTCCGCGGGGGGTTGAAGTCACAACATGAGTTATTACTGAGCTCCTCCAGTCTCAAAGTGCTCCGTGAACAGCTGAGTTTACAGCTCGGAAAGCTTGTGTTAGTGACGATGCAGCAGTTTTAAAACGCTGATTCTGCACTAAGGTGTATCTAGACTACATGCTGCAGAGTGTGTGTGGATACACTCCGCTGAGGAAACGTCAGTGTGTTTAAAGACGGGTTAATGTTATATACACAGAAGGAGCTGGAGTCAGAAAGCCTTAACTTCTCCTGCAGGAACATGTACAGCGTTTCAGCGGCAAAGAGACGGTAGATATATTATTAAAGAGGTAAGCTCATCAAATTAGATAAGTACACATACAAATCAGTAGCAGTATTCCACAGGGTTCTTACGGTCCTTAACAACCTGGAGAAGTCATGGAAATTCAAAATGCTAATTCCAGGCCCTGGAAAACAATATTATCCCAAAGTTTTGGAAAAGTCATGGAAATGTAACTAAAGTTGCATCAAATATAATTTATATTTTAGCTAATCGCCGAAATAGTAATACTATAACGATAATAAATACTGTATGGTATAGTAATGAAACGTAAAATGGCATTTAACTGACGAGGTGTTTTGCTGGTGAGAGATTTGAGTTGCTTCAGCGTGAAGCTAGTAAGCTATTGGATTTGTTTCAGATGCAGATCTTATTTTCCTGTTCCATGTTCAAATAAACCATTTTCAGTGGAACGCTGAGAGAGTCATTTTTTGGTCATGGAAAATTAGGTAAAGGTCCTGGAGAAGTCATGGGTGTATGAACCCTGGTTATAAAAAAGTAAGTGAACATAAACAAGTATTGAAAGAGACACTTAAAACTGTGAAAGTCAAGTGTGTATTGCACGTAAGCAATGCCATTTCTTATAGTTAGAGGCCATTGAAAAATACATAATATTGATTTGACAATGACCTGTATACTTTATGAATAAAAAGTCTCATTTATTATTAATGTTTTTCTTACATTTATTTTTACCTTTTTTGGGGGTTAGGGTTATAAAACATTTTTTTTAACCTTTTTAATTATTTTGACCTTGAACTTTTTCATGTGTATTACATTTTTTTACATTGTATTTTATTTGTACTTAAGTATAACCCCCTCCTCTTTTTTTAATAATTTAATTTGAAAAATCAAAAACATACAGAGCAAATGTAAATACAAGTATTGAAAGAGCCATTCAAAAATGTGAAAATGAAATGTATATTACACAAAACACTAATAACAGTAATATATCATATTCCAATTACTTGTATATAGACTCTGCTTGCACTATTTCTATTTGTATTTACTTGCCTAATTGTATCTGTGTTATTGTGTTGCTCTGTTGGAGGAGCCTGTGACCTCAGATTGTCATTGATATATCTAAACTGTAGCTCTGCACACATGACAATAAAAGCCTTGAATCTAAAGGAGAAAGCTGGAAGAGATTGCAGACTTGCCGTCATGTTGACATTATTTTGTATTTCCTCCACAGGGAGCGTCCCCTCGGGCCCCAGCAGCGGCATGGCCTCCCCCTCTCACATGCCCCTCCCCTCACACTCGGTGCCAGACTTCTCGTACTCGTCCAGCGAAGACGAGTTCTACGACGCCGACGAGTTCTACCAGAACACAACGTCGCCCAAACACTGCATCGAGTGAGTAGAAGACCAAATATAATACACAAGTACAAGATGGTAGAGATGGCAAGAGTACACACATCCTGTACTCAAGTCGAAGTCCAGATACTCGTGTTTAAAAATACTCTAGTCAGTACTTCTACTTTCACCAAACTTCTTTCCTCAAGTCAAAGTAAAGAGGCTTTGAAATGTACTTCAGTAAAAAGTACCCATAACTAGCAGCTGCTTTAAAGAGTACCTGACCTCCCTTTATATTAATAGAACAATAATGTCATTGTTAGCTAATGAATGTTTCCATGCTGAACAACGGCAACATGACAACGTTTCCATTGGTCCCTCTTCTTTAGAGAAGACCAGGAAATGATGGATACACGGATCGTGTTCAAATCAATAGGCACGCAATGACTCTAAAGAATAATGATCACGCATCAAACACACATTCAGACTAAAGGAACCAGCTGTTTGGAAAATGAGAGAAGTAGAAAGTACAAGTATTTGAGTTCAACATGTAAGAAGTAGAAAGTACAAGTATTTGAGTTCAACATGTAAGAAGTAGAAAGTACAAGTATTTGAGTTCAACATGTAAGAAGTAGAAAGTACAGGTATTTGAGTTCAACATGTAAGAAGTAGAAAGTACAGGTATTTGAGTTCAACATGTAAGAAGTAGAAAGTACAGGTATTTGTGTTCAACATGTGAGAAGTAGAAAGTACAGGTATTTGAGTTCAACATGTGAGAAGTGAAAGTACAGGTATGGTGTCAACATGTAGAAGTAGAAAGTACAGGTATTTGGGTTCAACATGTAAGAAGTAGAAAGTACAGGTATTTGAGTTCAACATGTAAGAAGTAGAAAGTACAGGTATTTGAGTTCAACATGTAGAAGTAGAAAGTACAGGTATTGGTGTCAACATGTAAGAAGTAGAAAGTACAGGTATTTGAGTTCAACATGTAAGAAGTAGAAAGTACAGGTATTTGAGTTCAACATGTAAGAAGTAGAAAGTACAGGTATTTGAGGTTCAACATGTAGAAGTAGAAAGTACAGGTATTGGGTTCAACATGTAAGAAGTAGAAAGTACAGGTTTTGAGTTCAACATGTAGAAGCTAGAAAGTACAGGTATTTGTGTTACCAAATCAAAGCTGTAAGAAGTAGAAAGTACAGGTATTTGGGTTCAACATGTGTAGAAGTAGAAAGTACAGGTATTTGGGTTCAACATGTGAGAAGTAGAAAGTACAGGTATTTGTGTTTCAACATGTAAGAAGTAGAAAGTACAGGTATTTGAGTTCAACATGTGAGAAGTAGAAAGTACAGGTATTTGGGTTCACATGTAAGAAGTAGAAAGTACAGGTATTTGAGTTTCAACATGTAAGAAGTAGAAAGTACAGGTATTTGTGTTTAACATGTGAGAGTAGAAAGTACAGGTATTTGAGTTCAACAGTAGAAGTAGAAAGTACAGGTATTTGTTTCAACATGTAAGAAGTAGAAAGTAACAGGTAATTTGTGTTCAACATGTGAGAAGTAGAAAGTACAGGTATTTGTGTTTCAAACATTAAGAAGTAGAAAGTACAGGTATTTGTGTTCAACATGTAGAAGTAGAAGTACAGGTATTGGGTTCAACATGTAAGAAGTAGAAAGTACAGGTATTTGTGTTCACATGTAAGAAGTAGAAAGTACAGGTATTTGTGTTCAACATGTAAGAAGTAGAAAGTACAGGTATTTGTGTTCAACATGTAAGACCAAAGTAGAAAGTACAGGTATTTGAGTTCAACATGTAAGAAGTAGAAAGTACAGGTATTTGGGTTCAACATGTGAGAAGTAGAAAGTACAGGTATTTGAGTTCAACATTACGAAGTAGAAAGTACAGGTGTTGATGTGTCAAAAGTGTAAAAGTAGAAAGTACAGTATTTGGTTCAACATGTAAGAAGTAGAAAGTACAGGTATTTGGAGTTCAAACATGTAAGAAGTAGAAAGTACAGGGTATTTGAGTTCAACATGTAAGAAGTAGAAAGTACAGGTATTTGAGGTTCAACATGTGAAGAAGTAGAAAGTACAGGTATTTGAGTTCAACATGTAAGAAGTAGAAAGTACAGGTATTTGTGTTCAACATGTAAGAGTAGAAAGTACAGGTATTTGAGGTTCAACATGTAAGAAGTAGAAAGTACAGGTATTTGATGTTGCAACATGTAGAAGTAGAAGTACAGTATTGTGTAACAGTAAGAAGTAGAAAGTACAGGTATTGGAGTTCACATGTAAGAAGTAGAAAGTACAGGTATTTGTGGTGCAACATGTAAGAGTAGAAAAGTACAGGTATTTGAGTTCAACATGTGAAGAAGTAGAAAGTTACAGGTATTTGAGTTCAACATGTAAGAAGTAGAAAGTACAGGTATTTGGAGTTTCAACATGTAAGAAGTAGAAAGTACAGGTATTTGTAGTTCAACATGTAAGAAGTAGAAAGTACAGGTATTTGAGTTCAACATGTAAGGAAGTAGAAAGTACAGGTATTTGAGTTCAACATGTAGAAGTAGAAAGTACAGGTATTTGGGTTCAACATGTAAGAAGTAGAAAGTACAGGTATTTGAGTTCAACATGTAAGAAGTAGAAAAGTACAGGTATTTGAGTTCAACATGTAAGAAGTAGAAAGTACAGGTATTGAGTTCAACATGTAAGAAGTAGAAAGTACAGGTATTTGAGTTCAACATGTGAGAAGTAGAAAGTACAGGTATTTGAGTTCAACATGTGAGAAGTAGAAAGTACAGGTATTTGGGTTCAACATGTAGAGAAGTAGAAAGTACAGGTATTTGAGTTCAACATGTGAGAAGTAGAAAGTACAGGTATTTGAGTTCAACATGTGAAGAAGTAGAAAGTACAGGTATTTGAGTTTCAACATGTAAGAAGTAGAAAGTACAGGTATTTGAGTTCAACATGTAAGAAGTAGAAAGTACAGGTATTTGTGTTCAACATGTAGAGAAGTAGAAAGTACAGGTATTTGAGTTCAACATGTAGAAGTAGAAAGTACAGGTATTTGAGTTCAACATGTAGAAGTAGAAAGTACAGGTATTTGAGTTCAACATGTAAGAAGTAGAAAGTACAGGTATTTGAGTTCAACATGTAAGAAGTAGAAAGTACAGGTATTTGTGGTTCAAATGTAAGAAGTAGAAAGTACAGGTATTGAGTTCAACATGTGAGAAGTAGAAAGTACAGGTATTGGTGTCAACATGTAAGAAGTAGAAAGTACAGGTATTTGTGTTCAAAGTGTAAGAGTAGAAAGTACAGGTATTTGAGTTCAACATGTAGAAGTAGAAAGTACAGGTATTGTGTTCAACATGTAAGAAGTAGAAAGTACAGGTATTGGTGTCAACATGTAAGAAGTAGAAAGTACAGGTATTTGTGTTCAACATGTAAGAAGTATAAATACAGGTTTTTGTTCAACATGTAAGAAGTAGAAAGTACAGTATTGTGTCAACATGTAAGAAGTAGAAAGTACAGGTATTGGTGTTCAACATGTAAGAAGTAGAAAGTACAGGTATTTGTGTTCAACATGTAAAAGTAGAAAGTACAGGTATTTGAGTTCAACATGTAAGAAGTAGAAAGTACAGGTTTTGTGTTCAACATGTAAGAAGTAGAAAGTACAGGTATTTGAGTTCAACATGTAAGAAGTAGAAAGTACAGGTATTTGGGTTCAACATGTAAGAGTAGAAAGTACAGGTATGTGTTCAACATGTAAGAAGTAGAAAGTACAGGTATTTGGGTTCAACTGTAAGAAGTAGAAAGTACAGGTATTTGAGTTCAACATTAAGAAGTAGAAAGTACAGGTATTTGAGTTCAACAGTAAGAAGTAGAAGTACAGGTATTTGAGTTCAACATGTAAGAAGTAGAAAGTACAGGTATTTGTGTTCAACATGTAAGAAGTAGAAAGTACAGGTATTTGGGTTCAACATGTGAGAAGTAGAAAGTACAGGTATTTGGGTTCAACATGTAAGAAATAGAAAGCATCATAATTATCTTGTTTCATTTAATTACTATTGTAATTATTTTGTATTGTTGTTTCGAAATACATCAAATATGTTAAACAGCAACAAGTCATGGGGGCGTCCAGCAGATCCATTTCAGATGAAGCTGCTCACTGTAAATAAAACAGCAGAGATATTTGCAGCTCAGTTTCCTGTGAGATCCTTCTCTCTGTTTCTGATCTCTCTGCTTCCTGTTCAGTCCCTCAGGGTCTCAGGCTGCCTCTAATGAAGCTCTGAAGAGGCCGGACACCACGGAGTCGCTCAACTCCTCCATGTCCAACGGCACCACAGACGCAGGTGAGAGAGAACGCACACAAGATGTAGAAACATATATATTACAGCTGTTTTTCTGCCTATCAAGCCAGAAACACTGAGCTGGGACTTTGTTCTGATAAAGTAGGAGAGAGTTTAATGGCGCTTTTCCACTGCAGGGCCTAGCTCGGCTTAGTACGGTATAGTTAGGCCAGGCTCACTTTATGCTGCGTCTCCATTACAGTTAGTAGCTGGGGCGGTAACTATAGTAACGCAGTGTAGGCGGAGCCGTGACGCCATCTTCAATGCGAACCACAGAAAACCAACATCAGCCGTTAGCTGTTAGCCCTCAAGCTCACAGCTCCTCATATCTGTTCAGAAACTAGACACAAGTTAAACAAGTACAAACCACAGACTGCCTGTGTCATGGAGAATACAGTCGCTGGTTTATTTATGTCTGTAGGCCGTTGTTGTGAGTGTGGACGGTCGGAGCATATATAACGTTAGCTGAGCCGATCTCCATTCAGAGAACACACATTTTAAAAGGTTTTTCGCCTGCCGTCTGTCTGCAGACTCAAAGCATTAATTCATGCTTGTTACTAACCGGTATCAGTATGTTGTGACTTCGGCATCATTTTGAAACGTGTATTACAATTAAATCACGGTCAAATATGTTCATCTTGTTGTAGTTGTAGCCCCCTTGCCAGCGATTCTCTCTCTAGTTTAGCATACTCAGCCCGACTCAGCCCGGTTGTTCCTGGCCCTAGAACCACCATTTAGTCGGGCTAGAAAAAAGGTGAAAAAGTACCCGCTAGCCGGAACTACGCCAAGTGGAAACGCAACCAAAAACGGGCCGGGTACGGCTCGCTTAAACCGCGCTGTAGTGGAATTTAGAATTGTTTTTACCTTTTTTATCTTGAACTTTTTTATCATGAACCTTTTTTATCTTTAACCTATTTAATTAATTTTTTTATTTATAATTTCTTTTATTATTAATAACATTTTTTTTAACCTTTTTTTATTTATTTGATAAGATTTTATCAAACACATACAGAGCAAATACTAACAATAGTCTCTCTGTATTTTGGTATTCCTCAAACCCAACCCTCACCTGGTGCAGCACCGTCTCAGAGTGATTCTAACCTCTCCTCTGTGTTCGTCTTCAGATCAGTTTGAGAACGATGATCGCGATGATGAAGGAGAGGGCGAGTCTGTGGAGGAGCACAAGAGCGTCATCATGCACCTGCTGTCACAAGTCCGCCTGGGCATGGACCTCACAAAGGTACGGACATTTATTTTGTAATCTTTTTTTATTTCTTTGTACCAATTTTCTTTTGTACCAACCTTTTCATTAAAAATGTTTGGGTGTACAGAAACTCTCTTTCTCCTACCTCTTCCTAACTCGTCCTCACGGCGAGTCACGGCCCGTCCTAACTGTCCTAACTCGTCCTACCTCTTCCTAACTCGTCCTCACGGCGAGTCACGGCCCGTCCTAACTGTCCTAACTCGTCCTACCTCTTCCTAACTCGTCCTCACGGCGAGTCACGGCCCGTCCTAACTGTCCTAACTCGTCCTACCTCTTCCTAACTCGTCCTCACGGCGAGTCACGGCCCGTCCTAACGGCGGCGTGCGTTGAAAGCTTCACCATTCACTTTGAATGTTTGTCTCGCCAAACTGCATTGTGGGAAGCGAAGCGGAGCTTTGCTGGCGTGGCTCGCTGCAAAAGTTGAGCAATGTTCAACTTTTGAAGCCTTGGCAGAAGCGTCAGCCAATCGAATCATATGCCGGTACAAGCTTTAGCCAATCAAACCGCTGCTTGTGTGTCAGGGGCGGGAGATTCATGTGATTGGTTGTTGGTCGAGTTTCAGACACATCCGCCGGCAAGCGACAACGCACGCCGCTGTGTGGACGGGCCGTAACTCGTCCTAACTCGTCCTAACTCCCACGCAGCGTTGACAGTGTCTCCTCTTGTCCTCTCTCAGGTGGTCCTGCCGACCTTCATCCTGGAGAGGAGGTCGTTGTTAGAAATGTACGCCGACTTCTTCGCACACCCCGACTTATTCGTAAGGTAATCATCATCCCTCTCATTCCTGCAGGCTTTTATAAATCACACAAGTGTTCACAATCAGAATTCCTTTAATGGTTCAACAGAGGGGACATTTTACACCGTTACACCCAGAGGAAAGAGCCAGAGATAGCTTAGTGTTGATTAAGGAACATGCATACAAGTACCAGTATTTAAAAAATAAGTGTAGCATGTATAAAGTAGTGTGACAGCAGCCTGTTATAATCTATCATATTAATATATATCCAACATGTTCATTATTTCCCCTCTGTGTGATTCCCCCAGCATCGCGGAGCAGGAGGAGGCCAGGGAGCGCATGGTGCAGGTGGTGAAGTGGTACATGTCTGCTTTCCACGCGGGGAGGAAAGGCTCCGTGGCCAAGAAGCCCTACAACCCCATCCTGGGAGAGGTGTTCTACTGCCACTGGGACCTGCCCACGGAGACAGAGGAGCCCCCCCCGCCCACGGTGAGACACACTCTGAGGGTCCTTAAATACTGCAGCCTGTGTGTGGGGATCATCGGCACCCTCTAGTGGGCAGAGAGGGTACTGCCATGTGGTTTAAACAAACAATACATGATGTTGTTTCAAGAGTCAAGGCTTTATTGTCTTTTGTACAGCAGCTCCAGTGAAGATATGGAAATGCAAGTCAACAGTGCAACATATGTAGAGGACATAGAACAGATAAAATAGTGCAAGAGAATACAAATGAAAAGCACACGACGAAATGTAAACAAACACTGAAATAATACGATAAAAAGGAAGAGTTGGAGAGGAGCCAAAGACACGGCAGCCCTTCATCACCGGCGCCATCTAAGTGTGTTTTTAATGTTTAATAAATATAACCCTCTTTATTTGAGTACCTTAAAAAGTGCACCATACATACCATTTATTATAATTATTATTATTATTTTAAAGAGCCGTTTGTTTTGGTTTTTATGACCCAAATAAATTCTCTGCTTTTTATTTATGGAGATATATTTTTGGGGGGAAGGTTGTCTTTTATTTTTTAGCAATCTGAAATGGGGCTTAAATTATAGTTGATGCTGTTAAAGATAGTAGTTTTCAGGTTTATGTATAATATTCTCAGATTGTTGGTCAAAGGGCAACGAAATGGTTCAATTGACAACAAATTAATTGGTTTAATTAACAAAGCAGATTGTTTTTTATTAGGTTAATATTTTGTCGTATGACCCTCGTGATTTTTATCCATATCTTTCATGTTTTTGGTTGATTTGGGTCCTCCTTCATTTCCACAGTTTAACCATCAGTAAAGGGGCTTTGAACGCGTCACACGACTTCTGCACATCACTTGTGTATATTGTGTATATTTACCGTCTGTTCTCTGTCGTTCAGCAGGAGACGGTGTCCGAGGGTCCCGTGCCGTGGTCTTCCACCAACAGTGTGTGTTTTGTGGCGGAGCAGGTCTCTCACCACCCCCCCAGTGAGTAACTGACCTCTATATCAGTCATTTATATTCACTAACGGTTACAGAGGAAGTAGAAGTACTCAGATCCTGATCTTGAGTAAAAGTAGAAGTACCAGAGTGTAGGAATACTTCCTCCTCTACATTTGTGTGACCAGCGTCCTTGGGTTTTTTGAAAAGTGCTATATATATATATATTATTATTCATATTATTATATAAGTTAAAACAACAAAACCAAATGACTTGAAACACACAGAGAATATAAGTGATTCCATATGACCTCCGAAATATATAATAATGTAATTCCCAAAAGAAGTTGTCTTCTAAATCAGTTTTTTAGAAACCTTATATTCTAATAAGGTCTTGTTTTCCGCCCTCACTGACGTAGCTGTGCATAAAGTGTAAGCTGCATGTATGATGATGTGATATTGAAAGTGTCTCCTCTGTCTCTCTGCAGTCTCTGCATTCTACGCAGAGTGTCTAAACAGAAAGATCCAGTTCAACGCTCACATCTGGACCAAGTCCAAGTTCCTGGGGATGTCTATAGGAGTGCACAACATCGGGCAAGGTACTTTAGATAGGCCCAGACTAGGGGTGGGCGATATGACGATATATATCGCCGAGACGATATTAGATCTCCACGATATGCCTTTTCAGAGATATCATATCTATCGTGATAGTGCGCCAGGGTAGGATTGTCACGGCGGCCGGTCTGGCCGTGAAGCCCCGAAAATAATTGTACGTCCTACGGCCGCCATGGCCTGCGTGCCCCTGATACTGTTAACATCTCGAACTGCTTTAAAAGCGTCAGAACAGGTTTCTGAACTGCGTCATGCTGCGTTCACAACGGACGCGATGCGAATATTCTCATCCTAACCGCTGGAGTTTCACCGCGGCTGTCAGCTGTTTACTCCTGTCATTCAAACAGGACGCGCTGGAGAGGGGGCGGGGCTTATATCCATGTAAATACTGTGGTGGAAACCAACTACGACCAAATTAACCTATTTTACCGTGATTTCATTGTAATACACGTTTCAAAATGATGCGGAAATACATACTGATACCGGTTAGTAAACCCAAGCTGTCAGGATTCAGACAGTGTTGCACTTCATTTATTGTCTTGGTTGATTCTGTTGGCTTGTAATTTATTTGATCAATAAGGTATTTATATTGTTTTTCCCTTTTGAAACAGATGTTCAGTTATGTTAAAGTCTTTGATTGCACTTCAAGTCTAAAGTTTACATTTGAATTGTTTGGCACTGACTTTTCCTCATTGAGGTTTTACTTAGTTATGTGTTACTCTCCTTTTCGTGTGTATTGATGTTACATCACGGCTCGTGCTGCCTGAAACAGAAAGTGCATTTTTATACTGAGAAGCTGTGCCTTGAATATTTTATTTTATTTAGCAAGAGAGTGCATTTACTTGGTGAAGAAACCAGTGTTAACGTTTGTTGTAGGGCGTAGGCCTGCCTGAACACTGAGGAGGCCACATCAGCATTCCTGTTGAGTTGTTCATTCAGGGACTCACTGCAGAACCAAAACCAGCTTGATGGTATTTTGGTCTGTGACTTTTAGTTTGTGTTACCTTGTAGGTGGTTGTTCTGTTAAGTAACTTGAAAAATAACCATAATAACCGACGAAAAAATATCGTGATAAATATCGTCTATCGTGATACTGCTTTAAAAATACCGTGATATTATATTTTACAATATCGCCCACCCCTATCCCAGACCACATTAATGGATTACATTTACACACCTTACTGTGTGTGTGTGTGTGTGTGTGTGTGTGTGTGTGTGTGTGTGTGTGTGTGTGTGTGTGTGTGTGTGTGTGTGTGTGTGTGTGTGTGGTGTGTGTGTGTGTGTGTGTGTGTGTGTGTGTGTGTGTGTGTGTGTGTGTGTGTGTGTGTGTGTGTGTGTGTGTGTGTGTGTGTGTGTGTGTGTGTGTGTGTGTGTGTGTGTGTGTGTGTGTGTGTGTGTGTGTGTGTGTGTGTGTGTGTGTGTGTGTGTGTGTGTGTGTGTGTGTGTGTGTGTGTGTGTGTGTGTGTTTCAGGCTGTGTGTCGTGTTTGGAGCACGACGAGCATTACATCCTCACCTTCCCCAACGGATACGGCAGGTACGTGATGGAGACGCTTTATTGATCCTAAATAGGGAATATTGGTTCATCACAGCAGCATGTAGAAATATAATAAAATATATATAATAAAAATATGTAATAAAATTGAATTAAATAAATATAGAATACAAAAATATATAAGATAAATATATAATAAAATTGAAATATAATAAAATAAAATAAATAAACGTAAATATAAACTTTTTAACAATAAATATATATCTATAGAGTTTCTAAACAATGCAAAGTACAAACATACATAAGTTAGAATATGCTGTATTATTACTTCTAAAGTGTGCATAGTTGTTCGAGCCGTTTGGGTAAATGAAGCTGAACAGTGCGTTCTGATTGGATAAGAAACTGAGGAGTGGTACAGAGTTCCTATAACCCTGCCTGTCTTTATTTAACTACGTTTAAGCGTCTTTGAGCGCCAGGAAAAGCGCTATAACAATTCAATGTATTATTATTATTGTTGTTGATGAACCCTTCCCTCCCTGCTCCTCTCTCTCAGGTCGATCCTCACGGTGCCCTGGGTGGAGCTCGGGGGAGAGTGCAACATCTCCTGCTCCAAGTCGGGCTTCAGCGCCAACATCGTGTTCCACACCAAGCCGTTCTACGGGGGGAAGAAGCACCGCATCACCGCCGAGATCTTGTGAGAGGAGACACTGCTCAATACACGTTCAAAGAGTGGTTACACTGAGACAGGGACGCTCTGGGCATCACTGTGACACCGCTCCACACTGTCTGACCTGCATTAGCGCCTGTTTGTTGTACTGTCATTATACATCTGTGTTTTATTCATCTTTTTACCACACCTGAATACACAAGACATACGACTACATGTCTGCTGGGTCTAAAGAGTCTGCGCAAACATATGTTGCATAAAGACAACTTTAATGTCAATCCTACTCAGTTTGTGTTTACAGAGAGATCGAAATGACGTTTCCAACAATCCCAAATATAAAATTATACAGTATGCAGATATGTATAAAATATGTATATCCTATATACACAATCAACAGACACATTTACACACATGCACACATTAAGATACAAAAAAAACAATCATCAAAATAACATTCACTTCAACATTACATTACTTTTAGCTGACGCTTTTATCCAGAGCGACTTACAATAAGTGCGCTCGACCAAGAAGATACAAGCTTGAAGAAAACAGAATCATAAAGTACATCAGGTTTCATAGAGCAAAAACATTTCAAGTGCTACTCAACTGGCTTTAGGTAAGCCAGCCCTTTATTGGTATAAAAGTGCTTTGTTAATAGTTCTATCGCTGGAAGTGGAGTCGAAAGAGATGAGTTTTCAGTCTCCCCGGAAGGTGTGTAAGCTATCTGCTGTCCTGATGTCAATGGGGAGCTCATTCCACCATCTTGGAGCCAGGACAGCAAACCCACGTGTTTTCGCCGATGGGAACTTGGGTCCCCCTCGCAGCGAGGGTGCAGCGAGTCGTTTGGCTGATGCAGAGCGTAGTGCACGCGCTGGGGTGTACGGTTTAACCATGTCCCATTAACCTGGCCCGCTAGCCGCTATCGCTGCTAACGCACTGCTCCCAGCATTCCCGCCTGTCATCATGCTGAAATACTCCATCTCACAGCTTCTGTCATTCACCAACTCCTCCACCCCGTCTTCCATCTCAGTCATCAGACATCTTGGACTCCTTCGTCGACCCCGCTACATTCACCGAAGCACCCGCCGCAGTTTTGTTTACTCTCAGCACGGTCAATCCATAACATCAATCTGCTCTACCCAACGCACTGTCGCACACCTGATGCGTCATCAGAACGCAACTCCTACTGCTCCTTTCTCCCATGCTCACCTTCACTCCCAGCTGCATGTAATACCTGGAGCGGATCCCACTCCCCTCCGCCTCCCAACACATATAACAAGCCATTTCTCCCCACCATCAAACCCCCCTCCTCTGCTCCACTGCCCCCCCTCTCGTCGTGCCCACCCCCGCGCTGCTAACCTGGCCAACCTCATACCTCTCCAGTCTGCCACTACCCCTCCAACCCCCCACTTGACCAATTTTGCCCTCCTCAATATCCGGTCACTTAACAATAAAGCCCACATCCTTCACGAAATAATTCTGGACAAATCCATTGACTTCTTTCTGCTCACTGAAACCTGGCAACAACCCAATGACTTCTTCTCCCTCAACCAAACATCCCCCCCTGATTTTAATTACATCACTAAACCCCGCCCCTCACGCCGTGGTGGTGGGCTCGCTGTCATCTACAACCACAACATCCGGACTACAGAACTCACCCTCCCCTCAGTACCATCCTTCGAATTCCTCGCCTTCAAAGCCCCTCCCTCACTGACAGTTATCCTCATTTACCGCCCCCCCCAAACCACACCCCTCCTTCCTCTCTGATCTCACTGAACTCCTCACCATTGCTTCATCCCTCTCCTCACGTCTGTTACTGCTCGGCGACCTCAACATCCACATGGACTCCCCCACCTGCAAACTCGCTTCTGAGTTCTCCTCCCTTCTGGACAATTTCTCAATTACCCAACATGTCACCTTCCCCACTCATGATAAAGGACACATCCTTGACCTTGTCTGCTCCACCAACCTCCCAGTACTCGACCTCCACCCCTGCCCCTTTCCCCTCTCTGACCACAAACTCATACAGTTCACCATCGCCTCCCCCGTCCGCCACCCCCCCCCATCCAGGACCATCACCTTCCGTAATATATGCTCTGTTGATCCCCAGCACCTCTCGGACCTGCTGTCCTCTACTCTCCCTCTGGACTCGAACCTCAGCTCACCCGATGAACTACTCAACCACCTTAATTCCACCCTACTCTCCTCCCTCAACAGCCTGGCTCCCCTCAAAAGGAAAAATGTCACTTTTACAACCTCCTCACCCTGGTTCACCCCTGCACTCCGTAAGCTAAAGCAAACCGGCCGCCAGCTTGAACGCCTAACAAATAAATCATCCCTGACAGTTCACCATGAATCCTACAAACTCCATCTCACTACCTACAGAGATGCCCTCACTGCCGCAAAAACTGCCTACCTCTCCACCATCTTTACCGACCCCTCCAATAACCCCAGGACCCTCTTCTCCACCGTCAACAAGCTCCTCAAACCCCGTGCCGACACCCTCCCTTCCTCTACTTCCACTTTATGCAGTTCATTCCTCCAGTTCTTCTCTGACAAAATCACTGCCATTAATCTCTCCCTTTCCACTGCATCTGACACACATACATCTCCCCCAGCATCCAGCGCCACAATTTCTCCCCCCATCTCCCTGGACCTCCCGAGCCTTCCTCCCCACGGCCGCCTCTCCCAGTTCACTCTGATTACCCACCCTGAAATAGTCAAACTGATCAGCTCCTCCAAACCCACAACCTGCTCCCTTGACCCTCTACCCACCCCTCTACTGAAGTCCTGTCTCCCCGTCCTCTGCCCCTACCTTGTCAACCTTTTCAACTCCTCCCTGTCCCAAGGTACCGTTCCCTCTGCCTTCAAAACTGCTGCTGTCACTCCCATCCTCAAGAAACCCGGTCTGGATCCCTCCTCCCTCAGTAACTACCGTCCCATCTCCAACCTCCCCTTTCTCTCAAAAACAATAGAACGCATTATCTCCAAACAACTCCACCGCCATCTCCAAACCAACCAGCTTTTTGAACCCCTTCAGTCTGGTTTTCGTCCCCACCACAGCACAGAAACGGCCCTCATCAAAGTCCTCAATGACCTCCTCACCTCTGCTGACACCGGTTCCCTCAACATCCTCATCCTCCTCGACCTGAGTGCAGCCTTCGATACCGTGAGCCACACCATCCTGCTCACCCGACTCCAGGACATCGGTATCGATGGTACTGCACTCAGGTGGCTCCAGTCCTACCTCTCCGACAGATCCCACTTCATCTCCCTCAACAACCACTCCTCTTCCACAGCTTCAGTCACCCAAGGTGTTCCCCAAGGTTCAGTACTCGGCCCCCTCCTCTTTTTCATCTACATCCTCCCCCTTGGTCAGATTCTCCGCAAATACAACCTGGACTTTCACTGCTATGCCGACGACACCCAGATTTACCTCAGCACCAAATCCCCCAACAACCCCCCCCTCACCCACATCGAATCCTGTCTGACTGCACTAAAATCCTGGATGCAACACAACTTCCTCAAACTCAACAGCAATAAAACTGAACTCCTCCTCATCGGATCAAAATCCACCCTCAGCAAAACCCCCAACCTGACAATCACCATTGATGGCACCCCTGTTTCCCCCTCCACCCAGGCACGCAACCTTGGCGTGATATTTGACCCCACCCTCTCCCTCGAGCCCCACATCCGTCATGTTGTCAAAATCTCATTTTTCCACCTCCGCAATATTGCCAAACTCCGTCCCTCTCTCACCCGCCCTGCAGCTGAGCGACTCATTCACGCCTTCATCTCCTCCCGCCTTGACTATTGCAACTCCCTCCTCTACGGCATCAGCTCCACCTCCCTCAGTAGACTCCAGCGTGTCCAGAACGCAGCCGCCAGACTCCTCACCCACACCAAATCATGGCATCATATCACCCCTGTCCTCAAAGAACTCCACTGGCTCCCCGTTACACACCGCATCAATTACAAACTCCTGGTCCTCACTTATAAAGCCCTCCACCATCTGGCCCCCCCCTACCTCACTGACCTCCTCACCCTCTACCAACCACCCCGGTCCCTCAGATCCACCTCAGCCAGTTTGCTTTCAATCCCCAAGGCCAAACTCCGGAGCTTCGGGGACAGAGCCTTCTCTGTGGCAGCCCCGAAGCTCTGGAACTCACTCCCCCAAGACCTCCGTGAGTCTGAGTCCCTCACCCTGTTCCAGTCCCGCCTCAAAACCCACCTTTTCAACTCTTTATCTATAAAGCCCCCCCCCTCTTAATCAACTTCCTCCTGACTGCTTTTCTGTTGTGTTTTTTTGTTTTGTTTTGTTTGTTTTTTTGTTTTGTTTTTTTGTATACCCCCCCTCCCAAATGTAAAGCGTCTTTGGGTCCAGAAAAGCGCTATATAAAATTAATATATTATTATTATTATTATGTCCTGGATGTACGAAGGGCCAGATCCATTCGCAGCATGGTAAGCAAGTACCAGTGTCTTGAAGTGGATTCTAGCAGTTACCGGAAGCCAGTGAAGGGAGCGGAGGAGCGGAGTGGTGTGGGAGAATTTAGGAAGGTTGAAGACCAGACGAGCCGCTGCATTCTGGATGAGCTGCAGAGGTCGGATGGCACATGCAGGTAGACCAGCCAGGAGGGAGTTGCAGTAGTCTAGGCGTGAGATGACGAGAGCCTGGACCAGAACCTGAGTCGCTTTCTGAGTCAGCTGGGGACGTATCTTCCTGATGTTGTAAAGCGTGTATCTGCAGCAACGGGTTGTAGCAGCGATGTTTGCAGTGAAGGACAGGTTGTTATCTAGGGTCACACCCAGATTCCTTGCAGTCTGAGTCGGGGAAACAACTGAGGTGCCGATGTTGATTGTTAGGTCAAGAGTGGGACAATCTTTTCCCGGGAGGAAGAGCAGCTCAGTCTTGTCAAGGTTGAGCTTGAGGTGATGAGCAGACATCCACTGAGAGATGTCAGCTAGACGAGCAGAGATGCGTGCGACGACACAAAGATATCTTTGGTGCAAGATTGTCCATAAATAAAGGTTTTATTATAATATAGTTTTGTGTTTCTCCGGCAGTTCACCTAACGATAAGAAGTCCTTCTGCTCCATCGAAGGAGAGTGGAACGGAGTGATGTACGCCAAGTGGGCGACTGGAGTGAGTCTTTAATTTATCTATTTCATCCATTCCTTGCATTCGAGGGGTGGAGCGTATCTTCACATTTGAAGTGCCTTTGTTTATTTTCTGAATGGTAACTGTTATTAAATATGTTCGTCAGCATAACTTCAGTTCCTTAAAACTAATGTGTCGTCTAAAGACAAGTTGAATCAATTGAATATAAGTTGATAAATTAAGGGTTTATCCATTAATGAGTTAATGAACGCATGTGTTTGGTGTTTGCAGGAGAACACAGTGTTCATCGACACGAGGAACATCGGCATCATCAAGAAGAAAGTGAGGAAGGCGGAGGATCAGCTGGAGTACGAGTCCCGACGGTGAGACATCACACTGATCTGAATATAAACTATATTACAGACTAGTCTAGTTTCCAGCTTAGTGAACCTGGAGATGTTGAGACCCCAAAGTGTTCTGATAGAAATGTAGAGTAGGGTCTGCAGCACAGAGAAGCTGCACATGTTGGGAAGTTAGCACAGTCAGCATAGGTCGTGTTGATTAGCATTATAGCTAAGAAATGGCTGATTTTGATATTTCTGGTGTGTTTTTTGAGGTTATTGACGATGCTGAATCCATGCTGAATCCATTTCTGACATTTTCAGGATCACAAATGGCCGGGTTCGTACGGGTGCTGGAAATCCTTAAAAATGCTTGACATTGTATGTAGTGTTTTCAAGGTTTGGAAAGTGCTTGAATTGTGGGAATGGTGCTTGAATTTGTGATAAAGTGCAGGATTTGGAACCCCCCCTATAACTTTGTCCAGGATAAGGATGTGTGTAGAAATATGTAATTTGAAGATGCTTGAAAAGTGCTTGAGAAGTGCTTGAATGTTACTTTGGAAAAGGTGTAAGAACCCTGATATGAGTTCACTAAAACTTTCAAATCAACCCAAAATGTATGAAACCCATCTGGAGTAGAAATATGGTCACTTTCTGCTTTCTGGTTAAAACTGCTATTTTTGATCTGGAAAATGTGAGAAATGGACTCGGCATCCTCGATAACCTCCAAACCACTCCAAAGTTGTCCAAATCTAATTTTATAACTATTGTCTGCATTATTGCTAATCAACCCAGCTCATGCTAATTGTGCAAATGTCCCAGCATATGCAGGGTAGCATCCGGCAGTTTCTATGTGCTGGAGACCCTACTCTACATTTCTAATCATGACACTTTGGGGTCTTCAACATGTCCACGTTCACAACATGACTCTGAGCTGCTGACTAGACCTGAGACCCAGACTCATTGAAACAGCCTCTTGTCTCTTCTCCCCCTCCCTCTTTGGATCCTCAGATTGTGGAGAGACGTGACTCTGAACCTGAAGCTGAAGGACATCGACTCGGCGACAGAAGCCAAACACAGTCTGGAGGAGAAACAGAGAGGAGAGGCTCGAGAGAGGAAGGAGAACGAGCAGCAGTGGGAGACCCGGGTGAGGAGTAACTGCTGATGTTAGATTATTATAGACTACAAACAGGGTTCCTGCAGAGTCCTTAAAGCTGTTCAATTCAATAATCTGAAATAAATAAAGCCTTAAATGATATTAACTTTGCATTCAAAAGTCACAAAATGCTAAGTTGGATTTTATTTCAGTCGTTTTTTGCTGTAAAATCTCTAAATAAATATATTCTTGAAAGGCAATAAATTCAGTTAAAGTTGGGTCTTATTTGGTTTAACAGTGAAAAAGCTTTAAATGGTATTAAAATGACTTAAAACAATCTTTCAAGAGTCACATAAATGCAAACATGTGGGAGTTGTAGTTTTTAGGGTACCAGTTCTTTGATCTGTAAACTCTTTAAAAAAAGTCTTGAAATGCAATAAATTCCTTAAAATCAGGGTCTAATTGATATTGAATTGTCTTTAATCAATAATGTCTCCAAAGGTATTAAATTAATAAGTTAAATAAATGCGTTAAATGTTATTATTAAAATGTCTTAAAGTCAAGTCTGATTCAATCATTGTTTCTTTTTCATTCAAAAAATAACACGTTATTAGAAACATCCATTTTGTATAATCTGCCAGAAATGCTGAGATTATTGTGTACTCATAATATCCCAAAGCAAACAGTACGTGGAAGAGTATTTTGAATGTAAAGTGACTCTGAACGGATTAACGAGCCGTTTTAGGGTCGAAAATTCTACACAATGCTCGTTATTGTTTTCAAATAAAAGGACATGTAATGCAAACTCATCAAACGTCTCCATTTCACTCGTACACACAGACGTGTATCAGATAACTAGCCGTTTAATGTCACGTTTCTCCCAACTCTAAAACCTGTTATCTCTCTTGTGTTTCTGCAGCTATTCCACGAGGACGGAGAGGTCTGGGTTTACGACGAGCCTCTACTCAAGAGATATAACTCCCAGGGGGGGCACTGAGACCACACACACACTGAGACCACACACACTGAGACCACACACTCACACACACACACACACACACACACACACACACACACACACACACGGCAGAGTCTTCATAAGAACTCTTTTGCAAAAAAAACACTTCTCCCAGCCTTGGAATGACTGACGATTGAAGACAGCTTTGCATTTGACTGAAAAACAACAACCAATGAGACGACTGGAAAAACAGCTCCTCTCCTTATTTGGTCACTTCCTGTTCCTGCGCCACCTCCATGAAAACGCCAACCTGAGGGATGCTGTCTCTCTTCACCCCCCACACCCTCACCTCTCAGCAGAGTCCCTGCACAAACCTGGGTTTTTATTAATGGAGGGGGGGGGGGGGGCAAGGTGTGTGTGGTTGGTGGTGAATACGAAAAAACGAACTTTGACCAGTTAAAAAACGGCGCTCTACATCTCAGGGAACGACTGAGGAAACGAGAAGGCTGCCCCCTGAGAGTCTGACAGCCTTATATATAACGGTGTAAATCTTAAATGGGCGGGGGGGGGGGCGTTAAAAAACCCCCACCTGCCTGCAACTAGCTGTGTTTATATTATAGAAATACATACGACGGATATATAAATATATATTCTTTCTTTTGTTTTTCTTTCTGGCAATAGTGTACAAATATCTGAGGATGTGACGGCTTTAGGGATCATTCCATTTTTCTGTTTTGTCTCCCACGTTGTTTTGTTTTCCAGAAGCAGAGTAAGCCATAGCATCTGAACGGGGGACATATGCAATATAGGGAGGGATTTAGGGGGTCCGTGATGCCAAGGCTAAAGGGACTTGCGTTCGGACACAGATCAACATGGTTCCTGAAGGCATTTATGAACAAATGATTGTTTACATATTTCTGTCTTTCAGTTTCCTTGTTTTCTCACAATTAAGGGGGTCGAGGTGAGTCCTGCTCTTAACGATCATAGGTTGGCTCTAAATGCAGAAACAAAGAAACTTTTACCTGGAAATGCACAAGAACATCCCGGATCGTCTGCTCTGGATATTAGGCGTGAGTGAATGTGATTTAAATGACCCTTAAAATCAGACGGAGTAACGTGTGTCTGAGAGTAAATGAATCCTCTTATCGAAGGCAAACATGAACGCCTTTCTAGAAACGAGCCAAATAAAGATCCCTGTCGAAGCTTCGTTTGTTTACTTTCCCTCCATGTTTTCTGTCTTTGTTTATTATATTGAATCGAGGCCTTGCCATACATGTCAGTACCACTCGCCTGGTAGAGCAATCATCATGTCTTTTGATTTCTTTTTGACCATAACCATTGATTGTAAGAGATGTTCCTATTGATGCATAATATTAAATCTCCATGAGTTCATTCCTGAGAGATTCTGTCTGTTTTTACACCTGAACATCAGCAGGAGAGGACTCTTTAAAGTAGAGACACTACACGCTGATATACACCTGAACATCAGCAGGAGAGGACTCTTTAAAGTAGAGACACTACATACTGATATACACCTGAACATCAGCAGGAGAGGACTCTTTAAAGTAGAGACACTACATACTGATATACACCTGAACACAGCAGGAGAGGACTCTTTAAAGTAGAGACACTACATACTATACACCTGAACATCAGCAGGAGAGGACTCTTTAAAGTAGAGACACTACATACTGATATCACCTGAACATCAGCAGGAGAGGACTCTTTAAAGTAGAGACCTACATACTGATATACACCTGAACATCAGCAGGAGAGGACTCTTTAAAGTAGAGACACTACGATACTGATATACACCTGACATCAACAGGAGAGGACTCTTTAAAGTAGAGACACTACATACTGATATACACTGAACATCAGCAGGAGAGACTCTTTAAAGTAGAGACACTACATACTGATATACACCTGAACATCAGCAGGAGAGGACTCTTTAAAGTAGAGACACTACACAGCTGATATACACCTGAACATCAGCAGGAGAGGACTCTTTAAAGTAGAGACACTACATCTGATATACACCTGAACATCAGCAGGAGAGGACTCTTTAAAGTAGAGACACTACATACTGATATACACCTGAACATCAGCAGGAGAGGACTCTTTAAAGTAGAGACACTACATACTGATATACACCTGAACATCAGCAGGAGAGGACTCTTTAAAGTAGAGACACTACATACTGATATACACCTGAACATCAGCAGGAGAGGACTCTTTAAAAGTAGAGACACTACATACTGATATACACCTGAACATCAGCAGGAGAGGACTCTTAAAGTAGAGACACTACATACTGATATACACCTGAACATCAGCAGGAGAGGACTCTTTAAAGTAGAGACACTACACTGATATACACCTGAACATCAGCAGGAGAGGACTCTTTAAAGTAGAGACACTACATACTGATATACACCTGAACATCAGCAGGAGAGGACTCTTTAAAGTAGAGACACTACATACTGATATACACCTGAACATCAGCAGGAGAGGACTCTTTAAAGTAGAGACACTACATACTGATATACACCTGAACATCAGCGGAAGGACTCCTTAAAGTAGAGGACACTACATACTGATATTACACCTGAACATCAGCAGGAGAGGACTCTTTAAAGTAGAGAACACTATACACTGATATACACCTGAACATCAGCAGGAGAGGACTCTTTAAAGTAGAGACACTACATACTGATATACACCTGAACATCAGCAGGAGAGGACTCTTTAAAGTAGATACACTACATACTGATATACACCTGAACATCAGCAGGAGAGGACTCTTTAAAGTAGAGACACTACATACTGATATACACCTGAACATCAGCAGGAGAGGACTCTTTAAAGTAGAAACACTACATACTGATATACACCTGAACATCAGCAGGAGAGGACTCTTTAAAGTAGAGACACTATACAACTGATATACACCTGAACATCAAGCAGGAGAGGACTCTTTAAAGTAGAGACACTACATACTGATATACACCTGAACATCAGCAGGAGAGGATCTCTTTAAAGTAGAGACACTACATTAATGATATACACCCCTGAACATCAGCAAGTAGAGGACTCTTTAAAGTAGAGGACACTACATACTGATATACACCTGAACATCAGCATGGAGAGGACTCTTTACAAGTAGAGACCATCACATACTGATATACACTCTGAATCATCAGGCAGGAGAGGACTCTTTTAAAGTAGATACACTACATATGATATACACCTGAACATCAGCAGGAGAGGACTCTTTAAAGTAGAGACACTACATACTGATATCTACACCTGAACATCAGCAGGAGAGGACTCTTTTAAAGTTAGAGACACTACATACTGATATACACCTGAACATCAGCAGGAGAGGACTCTTTAAAGTAGAGACACTACATACTGATATACACCTGAACATTAGCAGGAGAGGGAACTCTTAAAGTAGAGACACTACATACTGATATACACCTGAACATCAGCAGGAGAGGACTCTTTAAAGTAGAGACACTACATACTGATATACACCTGAACATCAGCAGGAGAGGACTCTTTAATAATACAGTATCATTCCGAAGACTCTACATATTAATTTAGGGTAAACAATTGAGTGAGTGACACATTTCCAGAAAAGACATCTAAACACTTGAAGCCATGTTTAAAATGTATTTAGTTGGAATATTAAAATCAAAAGCTTTATTAGGATTTTTGAGCTACAATCAAATATGTCATGCTTTTTCAACAACAGAGACAAACAACTTTAAATGAGAATGTTACGAGCCAGGCAGGCTGTACTTGTGCTGTTTTCCTTTCCTCCTGCTTTTTCTTTACTCCCTGAAGGCTTCTCAATTCTTTCATTCCCCCTCCTCGACTCCTTGGCTCCTCGGTCCTCCGGTAGTGACCCGGAAATGGAATTTAGCGCGCCATGTTGAAGGACATCTCATTTCTCTAAATGCACATCGAAGAGTGGACCGTGCATCGAGGAGGCTCTCCTGGAGGAGCTCTAACCGAGGAGACACTGATGGGTCCTCCACGGCTCCTCCGCGGATGTATTTCCGGCAACAGAGATGTTTCAAAGAGTCGTGACGCACGGCCGGACTTATCTCAGCCAATGACAGCTCTGCATGCATCCAGTCTCTGATTGTGTTACGTTATTAGGAGAGTGCTCTCATAATTGTTTGATTCTGAAATTGTATATATTTATATAAATATATTTGTGTGTGTGTGTGTGTGTGTGTGTGTGTGTGTGTGTGTGTGTGTGTGTGTGTGTGTGTGTGTGTGTGTGTGTGTGTGTGTGTGTGTGTGTGTGTGTGTGTCCGCATCTGTAGCCTGTTATTGTCTCATTACACCGCACAGTGAATGAATCAAAGTAAATATATAAGTGGTCATGAACACATCTGTCCATCAGAGGCTGCTGTGCCTCCTGTCATCATTAATGGACGTCTCTTTAAAATGACCGCTCAGAGGAGAGGAGTTCTCATTTCTCTAACCGCCTGCTGCTTCCCCTCCTCTCTCCTCGGCTCCCCTCCTCGCATCTCCTGTGGGCGGGACTAAGTCTCGACGATAGGAGTCGAGGAGGGGGAGTTAGAGAATTGAGAAGCCTTCCCTGTTGTCTCTGCAGCTAATCAGCAGCTGATCAGTACCTGCCTGTACACCTGAGTCTGACGGCTGATTGGATCCTCTCACCCTCAGCTGGCCTATCAGCAGCCAGGGCCGACCATAAAGGAGGCCCCCAGGAAGCGTTCTCCCTCTCTCACCCTGGGCCTGCTGCTTGGCCGCTTTGTTAGTTGCCGATTCTACTGTGTTTTTCTGACCTTTGTGAAAGTGTGTGTGTGTGTGGGGGAGTTAGGTAAGTCTGGGGTACATCTCATCACGTAGGTAACTAATGTTAGACACACTAGGTTAGCGGATTGTTGCCACCCGTCTTTTGCTTTGTCCAGTTCTGAGTAGCTTAGTTAGTGAGGGTTTGAGTTTAGGTTTCAGAGGATAGATGTAGAGACAGGTTTTGTTATACTTATTTATTTAGTTTGGCACAATCTCCTCCTCCTCCTCCTCCTCCTCCTCCTCCTCCTCCTCCTCCTCCTCCTCCTCCTCCTCCTCCTCCTCCTCCTCCTCCTCCTCCTCCTCCTCCTCCTCCTCCTCCTCCTCCTCCTCCTCCTCCTCCTCCTCCTCCTCCTCCTCCTCCTCCTCCTCCTCCTCCTCCTCCTCCTCCTCCTCCTCCTCCTCCTCCTCCTCCTCCTCCTCACTTAAGAGTATTTATCGTCAGTTTATTTTTGTACAAGGAATACACTTTTGTTAACATTCACGCTGACTCCCTCATTGTATTGGTTCTTGCGTGTTATTGTCTCCGGGTCCTCGACGGCATACCATCCAACCTCCTCAATAAACTCCAACATATCCAGAACTCTGCTGCCCGCCTCCTCACCCGCTCCAGAGACCACACAACCCCGTCCTCCACTGGCTCCCCGTCCGTCAAATAATCCACTTCAAAGTCCTCCTGATTCCTCACAAAGCCCTCAACAATCAGCCCCCCCCCCCCCCCCCCCCCCCCCCCCCCCACCTCACCTCACAGACCTGCTTCACCACCACACCCCCCCCTACCAATATTATTTTGTCAAATATGATACAAATCAAAAATGTTATTTCAAAGACTCGGAAAAGTCCAAATTCATTCTTTGTCATTGCAAATGTCTTTCCTCTAGCAACTCTATATCCTCATCCATTGATAACATGTCCTTATTCATTGACTGAGAATGTGCTGGCATCTGTAAACCATTTTCTTTCTTTCCCATCTCCCACATTTGAGTAAGAATCCGAGTCCCATTTTTGGCTGTAACCAGGAGGTAGTTCTCGTTGTCTGGGTATTTTTTTAAATTGTCCCGGCCATAAACCAGAGACTGGCACAACGAGCCGAGCACCAGCAGGTAGAGGCATTCCCTTTCGTCTTCATTGAGTACCATGATGCTCTCCCAACCTGTAAGTATTGCTCCACCTACATCCAATGGACTGGGGTTCTCCAGCATCATGTACGCGATTGTTCCTGCCAGTTCAAATACATAGCAATCATTCATGAGGGAAGAAAAGTCCAGCACGCCTGACACCTCATGACGACCGTTGCCTACAGGTGTCACAATGATGTTTTTGTCGTTTGTGTCTCCATGTATTATTCCTATGAAAACAATAGAATAAACTTTGTGCCATTGAATGTACTGTTGTAGAGGAACGGTACACTCATTTCAACAAATGCACCTTTTTCATAGAGGAAAACAAGCAATTGATATATGTTGCCATAGTGTAGAGGTAATGGCTCTGTTTATCGCGTTTGGATTTGCTCTGATCAATTCAGCTTAAAGGTGGGGTAGGTAAGAATGGAGAAAGCA